TTGCACTGGAAGCTACATTTGCATTTGAACATATCCTTTCATATGAAGGTCTAGGTGTCTGTTCAGCTCTACTGTGATATGAAAGTCTCTTCTGTTTGGTGACCAAGATGCAAGGTACTTAGAAAGTCTAAGTCTTTGGCAGAAATTCTGCTTTCTTGTTGTTCTGATGAAATGATCACTTTGGGAAGTAGACTCAATATGAAGACTTGCAGTGAGTGTGTGGCTTAACTTCACTGAAATAGTAAATAACTGACCTGGAAGTATTTTATGTTGAAACTATACCAAGAATTGAGAAGACTATAGGGTGGAATGGTGGTTCAGTGGTTAACACTGCTGCCTCACAGCGCCAGGAACCTGGGTTTGATTCCACGCTCGGGCGACTGTCTATGGGGACGTTCTCTCCTTGCCTGCGTGGGTTTCCTCCCACAGTCTGAAGATGTGCAGGTTAGGGGGATCGGCCATGGGAAATGCAGGATTATAGGGATAGGGTAAGGGGAATGGGTTGGGTGGGATGCTGTTCAGAGGGTTGGTGTGGACTTGATGGGCCGAATGGCCTGCTTCCGCATTGTAGGGATTCTATGATTATCACTTCCAAAGCATTGTTTCTTGTCAGAATCATTTAACTATGATAGCACTTCAGAAAGTGGCACGACATAACATTATCTCATAATTTCTTTAAACTCCAATTAATACCTTCAGTTTCCTTATTTTAAAGCGTGTGGAGGAACTGGAAGAAGGATGAGTGATAAAACAATGGATTTAAGTTTTGACTGTTGACTCTTGTACTATAATATTACAAAGTGGCTGCTGAGCCTTATTTTAATTGCTTGATCTTTTCAATGCTACTCCAAAAAAAGTGTACTTCTTTGAATAAACATGCTTGTAATGGTGCACTGCAACATATTTAAATTGTAGACAGTCAATAGATTTAACATTAGTGTATAACAATTGTTATCAGCACCAATTACTGAACTTATTGTTTTCAGTCAACCAACAGTAAGTGCAAAATCTGGTTGCCTTTCTGATTTAGTTTTTGGAAACGCAAAAATTTGTAAACCATTGTACATGGACATAGTTTACTGATACTTGGAACAGTCAAACAAAGTTGGACAAGTTGAGAAAAGGAAAAAAAAATCCTAAAACTATAGCACATCTAGCATTGCTAAATGGCTAAAGTTTTATGCAGGAGCTCAAAGCAAATTAAAGTCTGAGTTGGTTAATCAGAAGTACTGAAACCTGTAACATCAAAGGTTTGAGTACAGCACAAATTTAACTGACAAAAGAGGTGAAATCAGGATGATTTCTGAAAATTGCAACAAAGCCCATATTTGTGCCAAGCATGTTTGGTGCACCACCAGTTGTGATAGAAACCAGTTTCTCAGTTAGAATCTATTTTTCAAGCATTTTTTTTTTTTTTTTTTTTTTTAAAAAATCATTGCAGATACCCTGACCCTCCTCAGGGACAAAAGAATGACCAGATCCTATTTAGTCTTAGATCCTTAAAAATCATGTGCACAGAAACAACTACTTGGGCTGTTTCTCTCACATTGATGGATTCATTGAACGGCAGTGAGAAGCATGCAGTCCCTCGGGCTCTGCTGTTCTTGCTAAAAGCAGCCTTCTGAAAAGATTCCACTTACCTTGCTGCTCTGAAAGCACCAGGTGACCTGCTTTGGATTGTGTTATTATTTTTTTTTTGGTTCTTAAAGACTTTGAATAAAAAATCAGAGGCCACAGTCACTACTTATCTAATTACTTTGTCACATGCAAGTCATTTCTTGAGATTTTCCAGAAGATGGCAAACATGGAATTATGCTTCATTGCAGACTTACCTTTTGCTACTGGTTGGAAGAATACACTGTTGAGCTGTCACACTGGCCTTTCGCTTGTCAATTTTGTTTGTTTGAAGCATGCTGTTCAAGGGAAGACTATCCTTGAATTCACTGTGCACTATTGTGTATTGTTTTTTCCCCTTTTCAACTTCTTGATATGCTTTGACATATAAGACAAAAATTCTTCTACAATTGTGAGCAGAAATTAATTTTCCCATTCTGTGTAGGAGTTGTGTATTTTTGGTTGCTTTCTAGATTGTTCACGTTCATCACTCATCATTATTGCTTCACCTTATGTCATTGTACAGCTGGTCTTGCTGCAGGTGGGCTGCTGGTCTTGCTGCAGGTAGGCTTCTGGGTCTGTGTCTCTGGAACATCGAGAATGTTGCTGGCTGCTTTCATGTGTAGATGGGAGTGGTCACTTCTGTGATCATGATTTGTTTCTGGGGTCCCTGGTCAACTTTGTGTTGCTTGGATGTGGGCATGGCAGCATTCCTGGTAATTTTTCTGCATCCTGCTCAGTACTATTAGAGAAATGGTTGAAGCAAAAACCTGCAGGTCTACAGAGAACAGAGATAGGAATGAGACTAGCTTAGCTGTTGCTGAGAGACTGCGTGAAAATGGTGGGTTAAATAGCCTCCTGTACTGCTGGTACTATAATACACTGGCTTCACACATCTAGTATAATTCATATTTGCATTGCCACCCTCAAAACTTAATTTACCCTGCAATGATAGTCCATCTGGTCCAAACTGAAACACAAAACCATAAGCTGGCAAAGTCTGTTAACAGCATGCATTTTCCTCTAGTTGCGTAGCTTCCAGAAGTGCAAATCTATGTGGCATGTGATACCAGTGACATTGGCTATCAGAGACATGCATGTAGGTGGTGCGGTCTACTATTAGAGACGCTCAATCGTGATCTACATGGTGAAGACCATGGCACTTGTTGGACAAAACCAGAAAGTAAACTACAGGTCCAATTAACCTGTGATTCCTGCATTCTTTGGCTATTTTTGCTTACATTTGGGCTAGTCAGCCTGCAAGAAATTTCCATTACAATGTCTTTGGCAAGTGGTGAAGTTGATGTGGTCTGCAGAAGGGTATAGACAGGTTAATTTAGTGGGCAAAAACTTAGATGGAATATGATGTGGGGAAATGTGAGGTTATGTACTTTGGTAGGAAGAACAGAGGAGCTGAGTATTGTTTAAATGGAGAAAGCTTTCTGGAGTCTATGGAATAGAAGGATGTGGGAGGAGTCTTTCATGAATCTCAAAAAACTAGCATCCAAGTTCAGTATGATTTAAAAGAAATCAAATGCAACGTTGGCCTTTTGTTTCAGAGGTGATGGAGTTTAAAAGTAGGGCGATTCTGCTAAAACTCTACAAGGCACTAGTAATACCACAATAGGAATACTGGGTCCCTTATCTAAGGAAAAATATATTGGTATTGGAGGCAGTCCAGAGAAGGTCCAGGCAGCTGACACAATGTGTGAGGCTCTGTCTTATGAGAGGTTGAGTAGTCAGTGGAATATAGAAGAATAAAAAGCGATCTTATTGAAACATACACCATTGATAGGAAACTTGACAGGGTGAATGCGGAAAGATTGTTTTCCTTTGTGGGGCAGTCTAGGACCAAGGCATAATCTCAATAAGGAATTGCACATTTAAGACACATGAGGAATTTCTTTTCCCAGAGGATTGGGAGCCTGTGGAATTCTTTACTACACAGATCTGTTGAGGCTGTCATTAAGTATATTCAAGGCTGAAACAGATTTTTAATCAGTAAGGGAATCAAGGGTTATCGGAAAATGCAGGAAAGTGGAGTTGAGTATCATCCGATCAGTCATGATCTCGTTGAATAGAGCAGACTCAGTGGGCTGAATGGCCTATTTCTGCTCCTACGTCTTATGGTCTCGAATGGTCTTAATCCTTAAGCATGCATAGCATTGGGTGTAATAAAAGGCCTCAAGTGTGGCATTGACTTTATTGGTAACTAGACGAATATGGAATTAAATCTGTTGAAGCATATACAAATTTTCGGGGGTTTGTGAAGATTTTATCAGGAAATGTAGTGTAATAATTTAAAGAAGGAAATTAAATTTTTCTCAAATGTCTTAGGATATTTTAATAGTTGACAGCTGCTTCAATAGTTGCCTTGTACGATTGGGAATGAATTGAGCTTAACCTTGCCTGACCATATTAATTATTACTGGCAGACTAACAGCCCTACATCTCTGTATGCAATTCACTGTGGCCTCATGATTTTTGCCAAGTTATGCAGTTAAATAAGGAGAAGTCAAGTTGTAATTTAATGTAAGGAATGTCACTAATCTTGCCAAATACTATAAATTGGCCAGCTTTTCACAGGAAAAGAAAGATTTCCCCTCTGGTACTGATGATGGCTCCTTGTTCAGTTATTCTGAGTTCTGTCCAGTAACAGTGTGATTATGGACGTTAAACATATTCCCTGAGGTTTTTATAGCTTATTTAATATTGAAATCACTCGTATTCAATTTCCTCAACTCTTTTGAAGTCAGGAACTATATAGCCTTAAATGCTTGGCATAATTAACAACTGGCATATAGTCTAAAAATGTCAATGTCAGTGCCAGAATTTGTATGCAAATTGTGAAATCAATGAGTCACCTGCTGTTGAAGTAAATGTTTTGTCACTTAATTTTTGCAAACCAACATTTATAACTAGTAAAATGTTCTGCAATATGTTACTTGATGGTAAATAGAAAACAGCACAAATGGACATAGAACATTAGCTTGTCTTGATTTTGTGTTTTAATAATTGATTTAATTTCTAGCCTAAAATTTGTTTAACTGTGCAACACAATTGATCTGTATGTTCTCTAATTCACATTTTTTGACTTTATTGCAGCATACTCTGTGTATACAAAATGTCTTTTTTTCTAGTTCATGAAAGTCTCGCATTAAATTTGAGAGTAGGATACAGCCAAACCTGGTTAAAGCAGTTAGGTCGTAGTACCTGTAAGATGCTTTATTAAAGATAAAGTTTCCAAGCTGACTTTATCTTGAATACTACGGTGCTGTTTGAAACAGAATTATAACCTGTTATTTGTTATACTGTTATGTCTTCACTTAATTTTGATATTACTCTTAAAACTTAATATTGCAACAATGATTTTTTTTTTTCTACAGCTTCCAGCAGCATGGTTCACCATGTTTGATGCAGTACTTATTCTGATCCTTATCCCAGTGAAAGACAAAGTTGTAGATCCTATCCTAAAGAAGAAAGGCCTGCTGCCTTCATCTTTGAAGAGAATTGCTGTTGGCATGTTCTTTGTCATGTGCTCTGCAGTGGCTGCTGGTAAGAATTTTGAAATTTTTTTCAAACACTACTTGATTTTCTAGTGTAAAATAGACACTTTCAGGTTATAAAAATGCTTGCTGCCAGTGCATTTATAAATTGGAGATAAATATCACATCCTAAATGTTTTGTGATTTTTTTTATTTTGTTTCTAAATACAAAATTTAATCATTTTGCAATTGTGGGATGTGAAATCTGTTAAAGGTAAAACCACTGATTCTGAAATCAATGTGCATGCCTGATATAAAAACCTAACAGTGCAATATACAATTTTGTTTGAAAAATCAAAGTGAAGTGCCAAAGACTATAGTGCAGGACAGTATCCCAAGTTTAAAGAGATTTGCTTAAATATAATGTAATGAGTTAGGAATCTTTAATTTGTGGATTTTCAGTCTGAGGATGTTGGGATTGGAAAAAGACTAACAGTATCTAATTAAGAATAGAATTGAGTTGTCATAACCCTTCCTAGTTTATAGCCAAATGCAAGTGAATCTAGGAACTCCTGTTTTATGATTTTGTTGCTCGTTTCTGTAGGCTATGCTCCCCTCTGTCTGAAGAGGAACTGCAAGCTAACAGGAAGGATTTAATACTGAGATCACCTAGTATTTGAATTGATTCCAAGATCGCTTTTGCATTTACAAATATCATTATCTGCTATGACCATCAGGATTGAGTACTTGCTACTGATGCTGGTAATACCTGTACTTATTCACCACATACATATCAAGGAGCTATTCTAATGTGTGGGGTGATACAGTGAAGGCAATGAGGATAGTATGCTTCCCTCTTTAGAGTGCCTCATTATAAGCTGTGCGCAACAGAACACTAGTGGAATGAGGAAGTGGGCCATATGATTAAAGTGAAATTGTGCATAACTATAGTTTTATGTGAACAAATATAATTTTATTATTTCTGTTTCAGTTGGAGTAGACTAAAAAGTAGCACAAACCAGTGCCCCTTGGTGGATTTGTCAGATATAACTTACAATAATAGTGTAACTAGACTGGAGTAAAGAAATGGAAACTATATTTTAAAGAAATGCTTAGTGGTATACTTCCAGACTTTTCATGCATCACTTCATTATATTTTGAATAATGCCAGAGAGACAATTTCCTCACTCTGAAGTTGTGATTTAGCTGCATTAAATTAACTAAAATGCATTTTGTATATTCCTATCACAACTGAACAGAAAATGTGGCAACATATTTGAAAGACAAGCCAGCAACAGTAAACTGGAAGAGATTTTTGAGTCTACCCTTGCTATATAGTAATTTGTACTCCTGGATCTCTCTTTAAACTCCTGAACCCGACTTATATCTGCACCTTCCATGTATTCTTCCTACCAAACTGTACTGCTTTGCACTTACCTTTGTTGGGCTACATTTGCCAATTTTTGGCTCTTTCTGCAATGTATTAGTGTTCTCTTGTAATATTTGCAGTGTTATATGAATTCCAGAATGGCTTGATTAGTTGCTCTATGACATGGACCTTGAATGTTGCTGACGAGACATACCTGAAAGGGCAAGAATTCTAAATTTCAAAGGAAGCAACAATTTATGCTGCATTAGGAATGGGCACTAATTGGTTGGCGATTTAAACTCTGGTTGAAGCATTATTGTGAAGCATGCACCAGGGAACATTGTTCCCCACCCTTTTATTTAATTCAAATAAAGGTACTACGCCTCAACATGTTGCTTTATCCTGCAGAGGTCAAGTTCCTGTGTTTGACTTAATGTTCAATATCTGTAGCATAAATCAGCCACATTGTGAGCCCAAATGATAAGCTTTAGTGGATGCTGATGTAATTCATGTCACGATTTGGGCAGCCCTTGCTGAAAAAATCCTACCAAGGAATAACCCTGACATTAAATATTACGTCCTGAGTTTTGCAAGCATGGGATGGTTGAGTACAGCTTGTCCTCTGCCTGTAGCAAACAGCCAAAAGAATGTGCTGATATAATCTGCCAGTCATTTAGAATATATAATATTGTAGCCCGTCCCCTGTTTTTTTTCATGGTAAAGCCTTGACCAATCAGAACACTTCTTTGTTCACTTTTGAAATTTGGTATGTTTACTTCTAACCTGAGTGCAAACTTTGTTTGGCTTTATTGCTGAAAAAAGAGAATCATTATGATGTTGCAGAGAAATGTTTTGTCAGATACAGATTCAATGACTATTATAGTATTAAGTTTATATGTTTATTTAAGTGATTGGGGTGAAGTGTTGTAGTAACTGGATTATTTATCTGTGAGGGGATAGCAAATAATTGAACTTTAACGTGAACATAAATCAGATTTTAGAAATAAAGTTTCAGTTTCTAAAGGTAAATCTCTATAGTTTTAATTTGCTACATTTTAATTTTCTGTCATTTTAGTAGTGAACATGAATTTTGTTATGAATTCTTGGTAATTGTTGCAGGATAGGTTTATTTTTGAATACAGTTTTATTGTTAGTCCTCGTTTTTTGTTTTTTTTTTTCCTTGAATTGGGTATTTCTGGATAGTGATGGAATAATATGTCCTGTTGTCTTTTTGTGATCAGGGAATTAGCAATCTGGTTGCTTGCAGCTTCATTCATAATTACAATTCTCTTAGTTGATTAAACAGAAGTAAATACGCTGAATTATAGCTGATGTTTTATTTAAATCTGTTATAGATAACCTGGGAACAAATCCTTTTGCACAATTCCTTTCCATGTAAAGTCATGAAATAGCCTTTATTCTTTAACCAGTACCATGAGAAATAATTTATCTCTCTCTCTTTTGGTATTTTGTACCAGTTGACTGATGGCCAATCCCACGTTATAATAGTGACCACACATCCTAGGTACTGCATTGACTAGGAATTGCTTTAGCACATCATAAGATCAGGAAAATTACGTAATTATTTTCAGTTTACAATGCAGTAAACGAGAATGAAGATTGTAGCTTGCAATCCATGGTACCTGTTCATGCTATCTGGACAAGCTCACATTGTTATGAGGAGAAGTTGTATGTAGAACAAATCTTCAATTTGTATCTAAACAGTTGTTGCATATGAATTTGAAGTAGACTGTTTTTTTCAATAAGATTTATGGCTGATCTGTTTGTGTTTCAAATTCCACATTTCTATCTGCCACTGATATAACCCGAATTCCCCTGTGATTCCAGAACCTATCCACCTCTGCCGTAAAAGTATTCAATGGCTCTCTACTGCCTTCTGAAGTAGAGTGTTTAAAAGGCACAGAACCCTCAGTGGAAAAAAAAATTCTCCTCATAAACTGCCCTGAAAGGATGACTTCTAATTTTAAAGCAGTACGTACTAGTTCTGTTCTGACCTACAAGTGGAAATCCTTTCCGTGTTCACCTTGTCAAGATCATACAGGATCTTTTACACTTCAATCAAATCACCTGTCGCCCCCTCTAAATTCCAGTGGAAACAAGTTCAGTTTGTCCCATCTATCTCCATAAGACAACCCACTCATTGCAGATATTGATATAGTAAATCACCACCTCCAATACACTTTTATGTCAATCCATGATATCCATGTGACATTACCTGAGAAGGAATGGAGTATTAAAGTAAAGATAAGGAAGAATCTGAAACTTACTGGTAAGTATAGAGATATATCTCGGTGTCTCAAAACACCAGCCTGTTCGGTACAGTGGTTTGATACTCTCTCAAGTTCTTGCTGAATCAACAATTTTTGTTCTGGAGCAGTAAAAAGTACAATTAATGTGCATTGGACATAGAAACATGAGCAGCAGTCAGGCCATTGGTGCAAGTGTGCTGTGAAACATATTTGGTGTTCTTAGAATTGGTAGTCTTTCTCAAGATGGTATCAATATAGACTTGAGATGTCGTCTCTGTGAAGTGAATAGAGAAGGTGTAGATGTTTGTAAAGTTCATCTTGTATGAATAAACTATACCATATTTTAAATGCCATTTGGTAAATACAGTCATATGCTCATTCACGTTTTTCTAGATCTTCATTTTAGACCATACCTTCCTGTATTTATTTTCAATAGGTTACACCTCATTCAGCTTTTTTGCTAAACGAGGTATTGCTTTTACAAGCTCTGCCTACTTTATTTAGCCATTTTATTCAAAAATCTACAAAGATGACTAATGTGGAGTTGGAAAAATTGAATCCTGATTCTGTGATAAGTACAGCTTGGTGAATGCAGTAACCAGTTGCAACCAATGGCAGACAGAACCATGTCAAAAACAAGAAGAGGAGAATGATAAAGAGAAGTGAAGATCAGCCAGAGGAGCTTGAGATTGAAATAGTTGAGGAGAGCAAGGTGCACCAGGAAGTAAATGGAAGAGAGGGAAATGGTCCAGAAATGAAGTGGAGCAATAGAGTATAATATACAGGAAATCAGAAGCCATTCCAGTTTAGGACTCCACAGTAGTGGAAATGTAGCATGGCAAGTAACTGAGTAATAGAAGTGAAGATCTGTGGAAGAGAATATCAGAATTTAATTTATGTTTCTTCTTTGAAAATCCCCTTATTGGTAATGTTTCTTAATTTTGTGGGGAGACTGATCCTTTTTCCACAAGATATTTGAACTTCATTACAGTCTAGTTATGCTGCTGCAATGTGTCACGCGGAATTTACTCTTGGAAAGGAAGGAGTATTAATGACATGGGAAAATAAATTGAAACTGCTCAATTTTGCCACATTTTTATGAATGTGGATTATGTAGTATTAACAGGTAAAGTATAGGAGGAAAAGAGACATTGAGGTGGTGGTTGACCTTCAAATAAAAAGTGTTTTCCTTGCTCACGGCCTATCAAAAACTGTGACAGGAAGTTGTCCTACAGTAGTCAGCAACCTTTGCATCTGTCAGTGAGACCTTTTTATTTTTACAAAGCTGAAGGTAGATTCTACCCATTACTAGAGCAGTTATATCAGCTGAAGATACAAAGGTCATAGCTACTGCCATTAGCCTTTTGATAAGATTGCCATTCTAAGCAGTGGTGCACCTAAAATGTAATCTATCTTGATGTGACTGTTTGTTTGCTATTCTAAACCATGATGCAACTGAAACAACATCTGTTGAAAACAATGGTGTGACCATAAAATGGGTCAAACATAATCTAATCGGTACAAGTGTATCAAAAATCTTGTAAAACAAGTAAACAATCCTAGAAAATGTTGGCATGTTAGGATACAAGAACTGCATTTATTGTTAGCTTAAAAATTGTGCTTTTTAAGATATTATGTTGTGAAAAATGTATGTTTAGGCACCTTATCTTCATGCTTGTACAGTACATCTGAACATATTTTCTGAAAACACTTTTGTATTGTTTCCTAATGGGCCAAGCCTTAATGTGCTTTCCACACTCACTTTATACAGCACATTCTAGTCAAAATATTTCAGTTGTATTTAAAATTATTGTCTCCAACCAGTTCTTGCTGAACAGCTGTAGGTTACAGCATCTAAGGTATAGTATAGTTTCATCTTATGAGGTGAACTTTACACATATACGTCTTTTCTATGATGTGTCTGTTTAAGAGCTTAGTAAGTAATGTGCACCATTTGTGCCTTTGAGTCATACATGCATTTCTACTGAATTAGCTAAGCTCAGCTGTTGCAATCGGATTGCTAGAAGCAGTTTTGCTGAGGAAAAGCATCTGTTACTGACTTCTGTAATGTAACTTCACCCTAACCATTGAGGGGGAATAAGATGAGATCAGTGTCAGTTGTGAGGCCCTTCCTTCTCTTTTCCAATCGCCACTGTCATCTTTCCACTTAGGTAAGATGGAGGAGGGCTGCCAGTGTCATGATTCTGAAGTGAGGGGTTGACTTTAGTTAGATGTTTTAAGTTGCATCACATTTGGACAGATTTTTTTTTTAGGTCAACAGTTTGTTTTACAGGAGGTTAACTTTTAAGCAAGCAGAAGTCCCCTTAGTTATTTATAAATCTACCTATAGAATAACTATCATTTCCTTAAGCACTTTTTTAAGCTACATTTTCTCAATAATTCTTTTCTTTGTATGTTCTTTTTTCCAATTTGTAATAAATGCAGATCATAAAATGGGCTTCAAAGACCATTTCACAGTATTATCTTAGGAGAGAGAATATTAATTACTGTGTGCCTGATTAAAAATTAAAATATATTTAAAAGGCCTCAGTAAAAACAATTTTTAATGTGGTGGTTTTGATGATGATGATAGACCAAACACTAGAATTATAATTTTTATAATTAACTGTTAGGGGGCATAATGTAGTATGCCTTTAACTCCAGATAGTGTGCTGTTTCGAAGTGAATGTCAGTTGTGAATGATCTCAAAACAAATACTATTCAGTAACAAAAGCTAGAATATTCCCATTGAAAGATCCTGTGAAGTGTGCATTTGTCCATCTTTTGTCACAACTAGTTTCAATCGGTAATTTGTCATCAGAAAATTGATTCTGTACCTCAAATAACCAGCAAGGGTTCAGTAAAATTATTCCATGTTGAATATTTTGGCCATTGATGCTATTTTGATAATCATGTTCAGAGTACTGGCATTTTGAAAATTGAGCAATATTATACATGAAAGTAATTAAATCGTCAATTTTTGAAGGTTTGAAGTGCATATTTTTAATTGGAGACCAGTCAGTGTTGCAGTGAAATAAGACTTTAGACTTTTTTCTGAAGAAGGGTCTAGGCCCGAAACATCAGCCTTTCTGCTCCTCTGATGTTGCTTGGCCTGCTGTGTTCATCCAGCTCTACACCTTGTTATCTCTTTAGTCTTGATGAATTCTTTGAAGTTAACCAAATAATACTCCTAAATTTGCGCCTAATTCACTCTGTATATTATGTTGATTGATTAAGATTTTCGAATGCAGTAACTGATCTCTTGGTCAGATTCAATAGTGGGGAAGTAGGGTGGTCTTTAAATAGAAAGTCTCAAACCATTTTTTTAAAAAAAAAACTACCCATCCTTCTAACAAGACAGTTTAAACCAACTCATCATTGTAGAACTGTGCAGTTAATTCATAGTTGCTTGACTGGTTTTGTCTTTCAGTTCCAAAGATTGATTTCTCACCATTTACTACTTGTGCCTTATACTATCCCTGACATGTTGAATTCTCAAACTGTTTTAGTTGTGGAAATTTAACTAAATGCTCTAGTTTGGCATGCTCCTGGGCAACAGTAAAATAGGGATACAAACCTAAGGTTCTCACTGTCTTCCAATAAAATAGCTTATTCTAAGAAATTGGGTAGTAACAAAATAAGAAATTAGCATCTGGAAAGATTTTTTTCCATATCAAGCAACTAGTTTTAGTTTTGGTTTTTCTGCATTTAAAAAGAAGAAATTGTACATTGCTCAATTATTTCATTTTTAACATTTGGAGATTTTGATGACTGGTATAACTAATACACTGTTTATCTGCACACTAACTATTAAATTCCAGTAACCACCCCCCCTCACCTCATTATAGTAGCTCCTCTCTAAGTTTCCTACATATCTAGCCTCTAGCAGGTAAATGCCTTAATTAAAACTGAACTATTCATGAAGACATTGTCATATCAGTAGCTAGTAATAATGGGTAATTTAAGGTTTACTTTTCACTTCTTTTTAAAATTAATTCACGAGATGAAGGCATTGTTGGCTAGGCCAGAATTTATTGCCCAGCATGCAGTTAAGAGTGAAGCACATTGTGGTCTGGAGTCATGTATAGACTAGACCAAGTAAGGGCCACAGTTTCCTTCCCTAAAGGACATTGCTGTTTTTCAGGAAAAATGCAGTTGATTCACTAATGATTTCATTTGAGTTTTTTTGTTTTTATTGAATTCAAATTCTACCATCTGCCATGTCAGGATTTGAACCTGACTTGGACTGAACATTACCTGGGTCTCTGGATTAATAGTCCAGCAATAACGCCTCTAGGCTGTTGCCTCACCTTAGTGTTTTGTTTAATGAAGATGAATTGGCAAAACTGCATTATGATTTAGCATTGGGAATTGAATTTTATATAGTCAGATGTAGATTTGTAAATTTAATGGTTTGCACGATGATGTGCACAAAGCAATAATTTTCAAAGAGAAATTTGAACTTCAATTTAATAGCTAAAAGAATGACATGAAAGTACTTCGCATTGTAAGTTGTTCACTGTGTCAAAAGACAAAAACTCTATTGACTAAAGGCTTGACTTGTGGACAGCTGATACTTTCTATCTTAGAATAGAGAGCCCACTTTCAAAAAATACACTGCACAGGTACATATTAAAGGACAGGTACTGTCCTGTAAGCATATATTCAATTCTTCCAGAAACAGCCAAAAATAATTCTTGGTTCTTGAGAGCTTACTATTCTTTTTCCAGCCTGTAACCCTCGAGCTGTACTTCACGGTGAGATTATTAAAGAATCCTCCCTCTAGAGCAAGCTAGGCAAATCCTTCTACTTTGCTGAAACTCAAGAAATTGGTTCTTGATTGAGCTGTTGCCCACCACCCCCCATTCTAGAAACGAAATTAAATCTGTAAAATATGTTTGTCTTGTTAGACATAAACCATTACATGAGAACGGAACCAAAAAAGCCTGAGAATTAGTGGGTTACATATTTTTTGATCACCAAATATTCTGTTTCACAATTTGTGTACATATCACTTCTTCTGTTTTGTTTTTCGCATCAGGAATTCTGGAAGATCAACGCTTGAATAGCCTACAAAATGGTACTATTGAGCAACAGATTGGGAATGTGTGGTACAATGCTGCACCATTATCAATATGGTGGCAAATTCCACAGTATATAATGATCGGGGTCAGTGAAATATTTGCAAGCATAGCAGGTAAGTATGGAGAACAAAGCTATTGGTCTTTAGATTATTCAAATAATTGTCACCTTGTACATCCTCAAGGATTTTGTGTACATAATTTTGCTGCTGAAAATAAATCAATATTCTTTTAACTGCAAGGCAAGAAAGCAACTAAATTCAGCTAATTTCATTTAGATGTGAAGATCAAGTATTGTGGATGTTTTATGAATGAGATTGAAAGACAAACTTGGAATTCATTTCTAGGTTGCCATGTGTATATATTTTAACATTGTTCAGGTTGGCCTCTTTGAATTTACGATATAACAAAATTGCACTTCAACCACTTGTACTCAGCAGGAAGCAAATGTTGCTACCAAGTTTTCATACTCCCAATTTTAGTTTCTATTCAAAATGCCATAACTTATACACACACGCACACACGTTGTCCTTGCCTACATAAGGACGGCTGGGAAAATGTAACTTGCCTATTCCAGAAAATGACAGATAGTGGTTGCACATGCTGCTTTTAAAATTTTGATTTGTTTTCTATGTTTCTACCTGTCTCGCTGTTGTCAAGAACAATATTTTTGTTGAGCATCACTGGCTAGGCCAGTATTTTATTGCTCATTCCTAACTGCCCTTGAAGGTAGTAGTGAGCTAACACCTTGAACTGCTGCAGTCTAAGGGGTGTAGATACACTTAGTGTTGTTAGAGAGTTCCAGGATTTTTGATCCAGCAACCGTGAAGGAATGGTAGCATAGTGCCAACTCGGCATGGTATGTGGTTTGGAGGGGAACTTGCAGGTGGTGGTGTTCCCATGCATCTGCTACTCTTGTTCTTCTGTGTCATATTGTGTTTTGAGTAAGTTATTTGTTACCTCTTTGGAACTTGACTAAATATTTTGTAAGTCACACCACGGCAATATTGTATTCATCTCTGACATTTCAACATTTAATTCTAGCTACACAAATCAAATACTTGATGCTTTTTGATGTATCACATTATTAATCAAGATGGAAGTTTAAAGTTGACTGACTTTTTTTTTGATGCAGAATGCACTGAAATTCTTTCAGGATCACGTTTTAGTTTGCCTTACATTTAGTTGTATTTATTTCATTTAATGAAGCTGCTAGGTAATGACTAAAAATTGATATCAATCGGGTGCAATTGATTTGTAAACCAATAAAACATTACTGAAACCAAGGTTAATATTGGGTATATGAAAACAGAAGTTGCTGGAACAGCTCAGCAGGTCTGGCAGCATCTCAAGAGAAATCGGTGTTAACATTTTGGGTCCAATGACCCTTCATCAGAACATTCTGTCTGTAGAGTACACATGGCCAAATCCTGGATGTTCACTCATCCCAGAGATGGTTTGATACATTTAGGATCTTGTGTGACATTTTATAGATATCCAGTGTCAAATAAGGTGGTCTTTGATACCTTGTAGTTGTAATTAAGTTTAGCAGTTTTTCCTTGGTTGTGTTAATATCTAACTTTTTTCAATATAATTGTCAGTAAATTACTTCAGTTAAGCACAAGTGATTTTTTTAAAAAAAAAATCAGTCTTCTCGAAGAAAATCTGTGGATCAAATGTGGACTGTCAAATATGCTGGCTTTACTACACTAAACTATATTTTGTGCATTCCACTGCATGTTTTATCTGTAAACATAACAAACCTTGCATTGTCTTTTGCCAGAATCATGGCATCAGGCAGATTAAAGAAACCCCCTTATCTTGTGGTTGAATTAGCTATCAACTACCATGTTAAAACAAAATGGTCATCGTGCAACTTCAAAATATAAAGACACGATATTCAACCAAGAGGTTCAACTTCATGAAACACTTAAAATTAATGTTCATTTGCCCTATACAAAGATTAGTTGCATAGGCTTGAAGCTAGCCATGAAGTTGTCAGTGAGGAGCATTATATTGCAGCCCAGAATACATAATAGGTAATTTAATAATCCACCCAGAATCCACCTAATTAATCATCTTCTCAGCCTCCAATGCCAGTATATCTCCTGAGATAGTAGGAACTGCAGATGCTGGAGACTTTTCAGAGATAGTAGAAACTTTTTCTGAAGAAGGGTCTAGGCCCGAAACGTCAGCCTTCCTGCTCCTCTGATGCTGCTTGGCCTGCTGTGTTCATCCAGCTCTGCACCTTGTTATCCCAGTATATCTCCTGTCTGGTAAAAGGATTAAGATTGTTCATTGAATTCCAAAGTGTGGTCTAACTAGTACCTTGTAGTTTTAGCAAAGTCTGTGTATTTTCATACTTCATTTCCTTTTGGAAATATTGGCCAGTATTCCATATGCCTTCCCTATAATAGTGATTGTAATGAGGTCAGCCAGGTGGACCTCAGAATGAGTTCCCAGATTGGGGCTGGTCCGATCAGGGAGCTCCAGCTGACAGATAAGAACAAGAATGTCATACATCCTGTGCGCTCAGAGAGCTGGAACAGTATCAAGGACTCTCCACGTGTAAATAAAGGATGACTTGTTGACAGGAAACCGGCCTCTGTGGAGTTATTTCACCTATTATTTATTGAACTTGGATGCTGACTTCTTGTGATTCGTGCATGAGGGCCCTCAAGTCCCTCTGCGGCTTTCTGTAGTCTTTTCCTATTTTAAATAATGTTTAGCTCTTCCTGCCATAGTGCATAACCTTGCATTTTAAAGTGGTTGTCTGAGATTAGGTGTTGGTGGGGATTAATTAGGTAAAAGGTGTTACCACTTCAGGCAGCAATTACAATCTGTTGATCTTTGGGTTTAGTGAGACAGGCCAAGGAGCAGGAAGGCAACCTGCTGCCAGGAGGCAAGGTGGAACTTTAAAATGGGTCAATGAAGTTGACAGCCATTCATTTAACCCACTTAGCAGGTTTTACTATGCGTTTTCCAGCAGCTGAAATAAGGTGAGGGCTGGAACAACATGTCTTTGCATCACTCCTTGTGGGGCAAGAAAGCTCCCAGGTTTCTTGATCATTGGAACCCTCCACCTTGGGGTCATGGATCCAATCTACCTGGTCCTGTTGTGTGTCTCCTAATCAAATGGATGCTAATAAGGCAAACATTCAGGTGGCAAACCTGTTAGTGAAATACTCACACTGTGGAATTAAAACTCTGCATCAAAACTCAAGAACCACAGTCCAATTGGGTAACTCCAATTTCTAGGCTTCTGTCAAACTCCATCGGTCCTATCCGCATCACACCCCTCAGTAAATATTGGGCTTGTGTCAGATGGGGCACTCAACTGGTTTTCATCTGTTGATGTTAGAAATAGTTGCCTTGCAAAACCCAATACCTAGATGAACACTCCACACCTTCAATAATATTTTTTATATCCTTGTATAGTATATAAGCTACTTTTTTATTTGCAAGAATCTAGGAGTCTTTCCTACAGCCATAGGAGACTGTGTGCCAGTGCTCATCTGGCACTCTCTTCCTTCATGGAACATCCTCGGGTTGGTGATCATGGCTTAGGCAATGATATCACTGAGGGCATAGGCCCTTCAAACTGCCCCCATTGGTCTGGTTATTCTGTACCATACTGTAGTCATCTAGTGAACTGCGGTAACCTGCAGCTTATCTGGCATTAGTTCTGTAAAAAGGAAAAGCGTAACAGGCATTGAGAAGATAATTTTTAGGGAAATCTGGAAATTCTTGAGATATGCTTTCCTGCCATAAAGTAGGCAGTAGATTTGCCCATGCCAAACACCACCAGACCCTTGCATAATGGTGTAAATGGGAATTGAGGTAGAAATGAGTTCCACTCCATTTTCAGGTTCTCAAATCAGATCCAAACTAATGATGTTTTGTTCCAATTTAAAATTTGGTGCTCTTAATCTTTTAAAAAAACATTAAGATCTAACTTTACAGTGTTGCGTTGAAAAGCTGGTATTGGTTTTGAATATATTTGTTTACATTCACCTGCAGTTCCAAAAAAAATCGTTAATATTCAATTACTGCATTTTGGTTTTATTAGTGTAATATATAAAATTGAAGAACAGTAATTAGCTGAATATTATATGTGGAACTGGAAATTGTTGCCTTAGTTGTTTTACCATGTTATACATCTTAATAGTACTTGAATTTCGTACACTAAGCAATTTAAATTTTGTGACACTATATTGTATTTCTTTCCCATTATACAGTAGCAAATTATGAAAGATAGGATAGAAAGTAATTTTTCAAATTAATGTGGGGGGTTAGAAATGGTGACAGATGGAGTTTAAAATAGAAAATTGAGAAGTCATCCATTCTGAACCTAAAAGACAAATCTGTTCCCTCTAATAGAACAGTCCAAAGCAAGAGCACATAACCTTAAAATTAATACCATTGTCATTTAGGGATTGACGAAAGCACTTCTTCCACATTTCCACTATTCAATTACGTAAATCTGGAAAACCCATTGAGGCCGGATCAATTGAAAATGTCACTAGCCAATTCCAACTGAACATGTTCCAGGAAACATTGGCAGAAGAGACTTCACAGAAGACTGGTGACAGAGTGTGACTGGGTTCTCATGGAAAATGCATCCTAGAGACTGGCTTGGGAAGCAAGAGTTAATGTAGGGATTCACTGATTCTCTGGGAATTCAAAATCCCTACTTTGAACATATTTGAGCGGTGAGACAACGAAGGTCAAAGCTCTGTGCCCTATTTCCAATCACAGTTGTTAGAAGAAATAATGCAGGAATATTTTCAGCAAACCCATAAAAACAAATTATTTGCATGGCATTGGAGCAGAATGTGGGACTTTATTCCTCACTGGTGCAATCAGTAAGTTCTACAGGGACAACCCCTTGCTGGCCCAGGCTTGTTGACTCCTCTGAACACATTCGCTTTAATTGGCAAATGGAACAAGTTTGCTGTGAAGGCATATCATGCTTCAAGCTTAGAGGGTGAAAGAAAGCTTTAGTCACTTTGTGCAAAAATGGAAATTTTTTTTCTCTCTCCATCTGTTTTTAATGGAATGATTTGACTTCTTACTTGTATTCATTGCCGTTACGTGAGCATTATTGCTCATGTTTGGTTACTCAATGAAATTCAAAGTACACCAATCTCATTGCAGCCTGCCAAAATCCCAGCCAATTGCACTCATTTTGGCTCTTGCTTTGGTTTAAGAAGGCCTAAATTTAAATAGGTGAAACTGAGCTTGATGCTTTGCAAATCAGTGACCCCACCATGTTGTAACGGGAGTTGGAATTTCTTTCCCCTTGTTTGCTGATAATGAGTCAAGGGACTGATTTGTTAAAATCCTCACTTTAAAATGTCTTCAAATGCCTTCTTTGTCTTTGAGAGATTTGATGCTAATTCTAATGAACTCCTAGATGTTGAGTGAGTTGGCAATGCTAACGTGCGTTGTCCATTTTTCCATTTGAATAATAGTCTGCCCTTTTTTTGAATTTTTTTTCATCCGAAGTGCATGACCTCCAGTTTTCCTACGTTAGAATCCTTCTACCAAATTGTTGCCCACTCACCTGACCTATCTATATCCCCATATAGATTCCTTGTGGCCAGATTGCAACATACCTTCCCACTTATTTTTGAATCGTCAGCAAATTTGGATACTTGACAATCTGCCCCCTTCTCCAAATCATTGATATAGATAATAAATAGTGGTCCTATGACTGATCCTTGTAATACTCCACTAGTTACATCTTTCCAACCTGAAAAAGATTCATTAATCCCGACTCTGTCTTTTATCTATTAACCGACCCTCAATCCATACCAATGTATTACCGTCAATACTGTGAGCCCATATTCTGTGCATGAGTTTTTTTTCATGCGGGACCTCATCGAATGTTGTCTAGAGATCCAAACACACTACATCCATTCGTTCTTTTTTATCAACTCTGATTGTTATATCCTAAAGGAACTCCAGCAAATTTTGTCAATCACAACTTCCCTTTCACAAAGTTATATTGACTCTATTTGTTTGCATTAAGCTTTTCTTAAAATGTCTTGCTATTCCCTCCTTTATAATGGACTTTTACATTTTCCCTTTGGCAGATGCTAAGTTAACTAGCTGATTAGTTTCCTACTTTGTGTCTGTCTCCCTCTTTAAGAGATATCGTATTGACTGTTTTCCAATCTGCTGGAACTCTCCCAGAATCCAGAGAGTTGTATCAACCAATACCACCTCCAATGTCTACAGCCATTCCATTTAGAACCCTTCGATATAGGCCATCAGGTTCTAGCAACTTGTCTGCCTTCAGCCCTTAGTTGTCAAATACTTTGTCCCTTATGGAAAAGATTGTGTTACAGGACCTTTTTGCTTTCTGATATTTTTTGGGATGTTTACAGTGTTCTCCACTGTGAAGACCAATGCAATATATTGGTTTAAAGTATCTGTCACTTCCCTGTTCCCTAATATCAATTCCTGTGTTGCATTGTCCAAGGGTCCCTTCGTTGTGTTACCTACTTTCTTTTTGTATACAATTGCTAGAAACTGATGGCCTATATCCAAGGGTTCTAAATGGAATGGCTGTAGACAGTTTACTCCCATAATCAATTTTCTCCCTTTTTTAATTAGGTTTTTCGTCATTTGTTGCTAGTTCGTAAAACTTTGCCAATCCTCTGTCTATCACTAGTTTTCACTGCTTATTTGCCTTAATTTTCGATGACATACTCTTCCTGACTGCCTTTGCCTTTGTGAACCGCAGGTGGTTCATCCTTCTCATAGAGGTCTTTTTTTTTTTGCTTGGAATAAACTTTGCTCAGGGCTATGAAATACTTCCACTGCTCGTTGACTGAACTTCCACTTAGACAATTTTCTCAGGCAACGCATTCTTTACACCTCTGTCATTGCTCTTATTTAAGTTGAAGACACTGATTTGAGACCCAAATTGCTCTCGCTCAAACTGAATTTGAAAGTATACTATATTGTGATCTCTGTCCTGCAGAGAATCCTTAACTGAGATCTTTCTCTCTCATTAATGCTATCTCATTGCACAAAGTTAGTCTGTTCCCAGGTGGGTTATGCAGTATGATTCTCTAAGAAATAATCCCTAATGCACTCTACAAAGTTGCCTTCTAAGTTACCCTGTCCATCTGATTTGTCCAGTCAATATGCAGATTAAAATCACCCAGGACAACTGGAGTGCCCTCCTTGTGTGCTTCCATTTGTTAGCTGCCATCTCTGCCACCTCCAGCGGGATGCTGCCGCCAGGGGGACGTTCCCCTCCCCTCCTTTGTCAGGCTTACAAGGGACTATTCCATCTGGGTCATTTTGGTCCACTCTTCCTCCCATTCCAATCTCTACTCTCACCTCCACGGCACTTTCCCATTGCAATCGCAGATGGTGTAGCACCTGCCTGTTTACCTCCTCCCTCTTTACTCTCCAAGACACACCTTCCAGGTGAAGCAGTGATTTACCTGCTCTTCGCTTAATCTAGTCTACTATATTTGGCTTTACACTGGGGAGACGAAATGCAGACAAGGCAGCATCTTTGCAGAACACCTACATTGTGTCTGCAAAAATGACCCTGAGCTTCCTGCTGCCTGCCACTTCAACAGGCCAGATGTTCCCTGGCAACATCTGACTCAGGGTTGCTGCAGTGTTCCAACGAATCAAGCCTGAGCTGGAAGAACAGCATCTCATTTTCTGCTTGCGAACCCTGCAGCCTTCAGGACTCGCTATCTAGTTTGACACTGCTGTCTAATTATGCTATCTGCTATTAAACCCATGTGGTCCAAGACCATGACTCTTGAAAGTCTTGTGTTGCTTCTTGCCTGGTAAGGTTGAGGTATGGTTTGTACCTGCACTTCAATTTTGACTTAATGAAGCAAACATTAAAAATTGTGTGTTTGCACAGATATTAAGCAGATTCAGTTCTAAGAATATATTTCAGAATTATAATGTAATTATAATTTTTTGTTTTGTGGATGTGAAAGAAGATGTGCTGCTTACATTTCCATTCAAAGCTGGAAAGCCATTTCAGTAGACCAAAGTTGAATTGTTATCCAACTCCTCATTCTTTGATATTACACCTAAAAAATGTGCTTTCCATTTTGTGGCTTTTCAGGTCTGGAGTTTGCTTACTCAGCTGCCCCCAAGTCTATGCAAAGTGCTATCATGGGCCTGTTCTTTTTCTTTACTGGAGTTGGTTCCTTTGTTGGGTCAGGACTTCTAGCCCTCGTTTCTGTTGATTCAATTGGTTGGATGAACTGCAAGAGTGATTTTGGTGAGTAAACATCTTTTGATGCCAATAGATTAGAAGTCTCAAATATAGTACTTAACCAAATGAAAACAACTTCTTCCAATTTTCGTGTTTGCTATTCTAATCCAAGCATACATGCCTCCAGCATAATTAATTCGTTTTCGTACATGGAACATTGTATTATTTAAAAACATTTTCATTCAACTGAGTTAAGGTCAAAATATAGTTTAATTTACCTTGCCCTAATTGTTGGATTGTCAAGTCAGTGCCTATTTCCTTAACAGGTTGAATTGCATTATTTTCTTGAAATTGATTCAGGGTAACTAGCCTGTTCATAATGCTATTAAATTGTAAGCAGAAAGATATTGGTTACTTTGATCTATAAACTCTGTTATTATTTTTCTTTTTTATTTAAAGAAAGGTTAGCAACGATGTAAGGTTGTATGAAATCCAGTAAATAGGTTACTTCAAATAGAGTATAAATCTGTCCAAAGGCTGAGCACAGTGTTGTTAAAATGTTGTTAAAATTGCCTTGAGGGGTAAAAGGTCATTGTACAAAAATATGCCGTTGGAAAAACTACATCTAAGTTACAGAAACAATCAGATACATTAGCCCTACTAACCATTCACATTTTATGACGTATTACTGAAATGCTGCATTACAATATACAAATTCTCCCTTGTATATTTGGTGAGGAAAGTGTTCCTTACTGATCTGCAAAATCCCATCTGACAGTAACTCAATACTTCTGTAGTTGAATTAATTGAAAGACTGCAATTTAATTTTCCGTGCTTTCAGTGTACATGTTCAAGGGGAGAAAGAAATCTGGAAGAAAATATGAATCTACTGGCAACCATATAACCATTGTTACCGATCCCTCTTGAGTAGTGAATAAAATTGTTTAAAAGCTTAATCATAGGCATTTCACTTTCAGTGTACACTAACTACAATTACATGACTACATTTATACAAAAGTAGCCCCAAGATTAGTTTTCCAAAGCAATGGGAGAGTTCTTAAAAATATACTAACTGTACATCTAGTTAACAACATGTATAATAGAGCAGTAAAGTATAACTATTTTGTTTTTTCAATATGAAAATAATTTGGTGTAGGTAGCCCGAAATGCCATTGGGAGAGTTCCAGCATTTTGACCTAGTGACACTGAAAGAACAGTGGTATTTCCAAGTTGGGATGGTGACTGGCTTGGAGGGGAACATGCAGGTTGTAGTGTTCCCATATAACTTTTAAATGGCAGTGCTTATGGTTTGAAAAGTGCTATCTAAGGAGCCTTGGTGCATTTCTACAGTACATCTTGTAGATAGTAAACACTGCTGCTAGTGAGCCTCAGTGATGGAGGGAATGTTTGTGGATGTGTATTGATCAAGCAGGCTGCTTAACCAGGCAAGTTGGAAATACTTCATCGCACTCCTGACTTGTGCCTTGTTGATGGCAGACAGATTTTGAGTAGTCAGGAGATGAGTTATTTGCTGCAGGATTCCCAGCCTCCAACCTGCTCTTGTAGAATCTATAATACTGGTCCAGTTTGGTTTCTAGTCAATGGTAATCTCCTGATTTCTGTTAGTGGGGGATTCGGTGATGATTATGCTATTGAATGTCAAGGGATGATGGTTAGATTCTCTTTTGTTGGAGATGGTCATCGCTTTGCAGTTTTGTGGTGCAAATTATTTGCCACCTGTCAGCTCGTACCTGGATATTGTACAGGTCTTGCTGCATTTAGACACGAACTGCTTCAGTATCTGACAAGTAGTAAATGGCTCCGAACATTGTGCGTTCATTGGGGCGCATCCTCTGACCTGATTTCTGATGGAGAGAAGATCATTTGAAGCAGATAAAGCTGCTTGGACCTCAGACACTCCCTTGAGGAACTCCCAGCAGGTGTGTCCTGGAGCTGAGATGATTAAGCTCCAAAACCACAACTATCTTTGTGCCAGGTATGAATCTAACCAGCTGGGAGTTCTCCCCTAATTCCCATTGACTCTAGTTTTGCTAGAGCTCTTTGATACCAAATCCAGTCAGATGCAGCCTTGATGTCAAGGATAGTCACTCATCTAACCTCTGGAATTCAGATTTTTTGTCTGTGTTTGGATTAAGGCTGCAACAAGGCCAGGAGCTGAGTGGCCCTGATAGAACCCAACTGTGTGTTTGAGAAGGTAATTGCTAAGCACATGCTGCTTGATGGCACCTTCCATCACTTTTTACTGATGTTTGAGAGTAAACTGAGCAATAATTGACTACATTGGATTTGTCCAGCTTTTTGTGTACGGTACATACCTGGGCAACTTTCCACATTATTGGATAGTTGCCACTGTTGTAGCTGAATTGGACCAGCTTGTCTCCGGGTGCAGCTAATTCTGGAGCATGTCTTCAAGGATAGTGCCAGAATATTGTCAGGGCCTATAGCCTTTGTAGTATCCAATGCCTTAAGACGTTTCTTGAAATCATGTGGAGTGAATCAAATCAGCTGAATTTCTCCTGAAATATTCTCGTTTAAAAATAAATGAGGATGATCTCTAATGCTGAACTGAAATGTTTAATGCGCACTGAAGTTAGTGACAGTTTAACTGAGGGTTTTGTGCATTCTAAATCCATGAATGACTTGGCTTTTACCATATGACCATAAGATTTAGAATGAGGCTCAGACAGACCTGGAATCTATGGAGCAATATGATTAATATTCATTAAAATGAAAGCCTATGGGAGAATGTCTTGATATTCCAGTTTGGAAAGACAAAATTTATTAAATAGTTTAGGATGAATTCTGGAAACGGGTATCTTGAACTTCAACTGAAGTGTGGTGTTTTGCCAAAAGTGCTACTGGTAAAGTTTAGTCTACGCATTATGGCTGAATTTATAGCTGATTTTCTGAAAATGTTTGATTCAACCAGTTTCAGTAGCATATAGATCTTTGGGTAACTGAACCAAGAGGTGACAGATTCAAAGGCCTGGATTTCCCTTATTCCGTAGTGGTGAACACAGAAGTTCAGCACTATAGAGGGACTCATCAGCACTACGCTGTCAGGTGAATTCACTTACACTGAAATCCAGAGGTTGTGGTGTGCACAAATGGTGTGATAGCCCTATCTTTCCTGTGCTTGAAGCAGTTGGAATCATTAGTTTGAAAATTTGGCCTGTTTGCCCTCCACTTGCACAAGTTGTTTCTGTGCAAGGTGATAATACTAATCACAGTTATAAATTGAGGGGTCAGCCCTCCAAGTGTTTGTTTACTTTGACGAGGTAAGCAGATGGTAGTTACGGTTGTTAATTGAGAACAGGAATGTTTCAGGAGCTGGATGGGGTGGTAGAACAGGGGTTTGTGCCATGGGAGATGGAGAGGAAACAGAAATCATGGATGCTCTGGGGAAGGAGTGTTTGGAAGACATGAAGTTTGCATTTATTCTCTTTGGCCTGGACTTTATTCGTGGCGACTGACAGCCACATTTGCCACTGAGTGGAATGTCCAAGTCAAAATCAGTTAGCATGAAATCATGAGTTATGGGAGCAAGGAACAAATGAAAGAGTATATATTAAGTTCACTGATGAGGTAGCATGTACACTCAAGCATTTTAGCCAAAAAAGAAACAACATATTTTCATATTTTGTTTCACATCTGTTGGACATCTCAAAACCTTTCACAGGCAGTTAACTGCCATATTGTACAAAAAGGAGTGAGATAAATAATCATTTAATTGGTTTTGGTGAAGTCTATTGAAGGATGAATGCTGACCAGAACAACTGTGAGGACGACTTCTTTTTGAATCGTGTCTTCTGATCCTTTACGTTCACCTGAATGGGCAGACACTGTTCCTGTTTAGCATTTCCTATGAAAGACAGCACTTTCGACCATGTAGCTTTCCCTTAGTGCTGCACTGGAGTTGAAGCTGAAATTATGCTCCAGTATCTGAAATAGGGCTTGAAGTTGTGACTTTCTGACTCCCAAGCCAAAAATCCTACCACTTAGTCAAGATGCTTTTGTAAGCATCAGCAAACAAGTGAAGTAAAGTACTGAAACAAAAACAGAAAAGGTGTGAAATAGCCAATAGGTCACTACTATCTATAGGCAGTCAAGATACAAATCTGAAGAGATTATGTAATTGTGTGCGTATAAGGATCGAGATAGTATTACCATGACAGTGTACAGTCTCCATCAGTTGTCTGGAAAGCTAGCGTTTCAGGTCGGGAATCTGAAGAAGGGTCCCGAGCCGAAACGTCAGCTTACTTGATCCTCTGATGCTGCCTGACCTGCTGTGTTCCTCCAACTTCACTGTGGTATCTCTGACTCTAGCATCGGCAGTTCTTACTATCTCCATCAGTTGTCTTCTCCTTTTGCTCCTGCATTGTCAAATTGGGAGTTTCCGATTTGATGTGTAGCTTTGTAAAACTCTTAGTCTTACCCCAATTGGCTATATGCTTATTACATTTGCCAGGCTGAAATCTCTGTTTGTACCTTTCTCCAGTCAACTTCTCACCAGTTTCTGGACTTCATCCTATGTGAAATTAAATTTACCTAAAACTCCTTTATCTACATATTATTTCTCTCTCATTTCACTTAGACTGGAAATAGATTAGACAGCTGTATAATAATTTGTGGTGAAAATATTCAGTAGCTTATGCATAAGAAATGTTGGAATGCTTGAGGGTGTCTGCCAATATTAGAAAACAAAGACAGCTGAAATAACAAACTAGATTTAGATAAAGCCTATACTGGAATGAAGAAAAGTAACTATTCCATTTCAATATCATTTATCCGGCAGTGGTTCCTTCAAAAACTGAGTACACAATCTTTTTTAATTCCCATTCCAAAAAGATTCATACTATAAGCATTTCTTTTTTGTACATCTGTAGTACTTGGTTGGTAACGAAGAAGTTTATTGCAGTATTCTGCTTGCAGGCAAATTATTTCATTGTTATTATACCGTTTTGCAATTGAATCACTCAACAACTGACTTGACTTGCAGCTTATAATTTTTTAATAAGCCAGCAACTTTTTTCCCTGTTTTTCAA